ACTTCTACCGCTTAGACTTTGTTGCTTTTTCAATTTTTCCTAATAAACAATCGTGGTACAAAGCTCAATAAAAATATTAAAAATAAAAATGCTAACAAGCCACAATAACATTGACAAATAAAGCTTTTTAATTTTGAGTTATTCAAGAAAGTTATTCAAGTATTTAAAATGCTTTTAGCGTTAGGACTGCATTTTTTTGGTTTTGTTTTCAACTATGTATGTATATTTATAAGGTGTTCCTTTCATATAAAAAATAATAAAAATTATTTGTTACGAAACAAGTAATTTTTAAGCAAAAAACAAAAGTTCAATTCTCATACAAAAATTTAAGATTATCGTTTATTTCTGCATGATCCAATGATCGGATGTAAACCAAATTAATATGGGACCACCTGTGATTACCTCACCTTTCCTTTAAAAAAAATTATAGAACTCGGTTAACGTGGTCCAAAGGTACATAAACAAAAATATTCCGACGAATTGATAACCTTTCTCCTTCTTTTGAAGTCGGTTCATAAAAAATAACAGACTTATTATTTTTGAAACGTAAAAATTAATTTTAACGTTCGGCTTCGGTTTCGGCTTAAGCCAAAATTACAGCTTCGGTCGGACACTAATAAATATGTAACTTTAAATCATATCAACGTTTAAAATTTACATTTGTAGACCGAAATGCCAGCTACTCCTATGCCACAAGGACCTAAACAGCTAACCTCTACCACGTTGGGCCAACCCCCAATAGAAGCATCTGGAAACGAGTTATTTGACGCAGATTGCTTGAAGCTTATAAATGAGTATTTTTACGGAGTGCGGATCTTCCCTGGACAAGACCCTACTCATGTGTATGTGGGTTGGGTCACAACACAATATCACCTTCATAGTAAGGAGTTCAACAAATCGAAAGTACGTTGCGGCTCGGTTATTATTGAGGATGAATATGAAGCAGTCATGGAACGCATTGATCGTCAGAGCTGTTATGTTGTAAGGGCTGATGAACTTTTTAATGAAGTAACGCAAGATTCTTCCGGAAAGGGCGCCTCCCAGGTAAATATGTATATATCATTACAGACAAAAGATGAATATAATTTATCAATGCTTTAGGGAATGTTTATTGGATGTTTTGTGGACACATCTACTGGTATAATTCGGTTTACGTGCGAGGGAAAAGAAACATCTCACCGCTGGATGATGGAACCAGATACGAAGCTTTTCCCAGCGATTTTTGTGGAAGCAACCAGTAAAGAAATATTGCAAATTGAATTGGGGCGCACATCTACGACTTTACCTCTATCTGCTGCTGTATTGCCTACAAGTGATAAACACATAAATCCTCAGTCGCCTCCTCGTCTTAAAGTTCAATGTCTCAGGCCTCACCAATGGGCACGTGTCCCAAATACTGCTCTTCAAGTACATGCTCTTAAACTTTCCGATATCAGGGGTTGGTCTATGCTATGCGAAGATCCTGTGTCAATGCTGGCGCTTCACATACCAGAAGAAGATCGCTGCATTGACATTTTGGAATTAATAGAAATGGATAAATTACTATCATTTCACGCCCATACACTCACGTTATATGCTGCTCTTTGCTATCAATCTAACTATCGTGCTGCTCATGCTCTTTGCCAACATGTTGATCAAAAACAACTTCTTTATGCTATAAGGTCAGAATATATGAGCGGACCTTTACGTCAAGGCTTTTATGATCTGTTGATTGCCCTTCATTTGGAATCCCACGCTACCACTATGGAAGTATGTAAAAATGAGTACATAACTCCATTAGGAACTGAGCTAAAAGAACTATACAATGATGAAGAAATGTGCCACTCATTACGATCACTCGTAACAGAATCTGTGCGTCCACAAATGCGAATGACTGAGATAACGTAAGTATTGACACTCTTTAATTCAATCCACCGTGACTTAGAGATAACTTACCCAACGACCGCCACATCCATGATAAAAAAATTACAAGGTAAAGCCATTCCCCCAATTGGTCGGCCATGATTTTTTTCTATCGTTTGCAAGCATTTTAAAATCATATAAAATTTAAAATAAATTAAATTGTTCACAATTGCTGTTGCTTGGGGTTGAAAATGAGAATATGTGTGTGAGTTTGAGTCTGTGATGGAAAAGTGGTCACAATAGTGCCATTTTTGGCACTTTCATTCACAAGGGCACTTTTGGCACAATCCATTCAGTTTTGGCACAATCATAAATTAAAGAAATTTAGCCAGTATATAACAAACAATCATATATTATTGATAGACTCGAAAAGTTAAAAGTAAAATCACTTAAAAATTAAAACAAGTAATTTTTAAGCAGAAAACAAAACCGACTTCAATTCTCATATAAAAATTTAAAATTTTCGTTAATTTAGTCATGATCCAATGATCGGATTTAAACCAAAATAATATGGGACCACCTGTGAGGTAACACCTTTCCCTCAAAAAAATTAGAATTATAGAAATCGGTTAACGTGGTCCTAAGTTATGCGGTAACATACATAAAAAAAAATTTAAAAAAATATTCCGTCGAATTGATAACCTATTCTTTTTGTGAAGTCAGTTAATAAGGCTCACTATATAAAATTAATAAAAATTATTGAATGTAAAGAATAGTCAAAACTAGTCAAAATGTCGCACTGAAATTATTTCGAACATAGGTGTATGTATATGTGTAAACAGATCCGAATGGGTATATTTCAGTGTTTTCCCCCTTCGTAATTGTAATATTGTGTTTTTTATTTTAATTTATTGTATGTAACTTTTTAAAGACAAGTACAAACTTAGATCTATGACAACCGAAGTCATCAGCTTGTATACTGTGTTATTTTACTATGATTTTACCCTAATAACACAGTAGGGAGGCAAAAATATCACGGCTAAATACGAAAACTTAATTTTGGCCTCTAGATTACGATGGCGTTTTCAGAAAATCCGTATCACGTCAAAATTTTGAGATATTTAGGGGGGAAGTTTTAGAATTCTGAAAGTGAATTTTTCGTCGTTTAAAACACTGTGCTCAGGTTTTGAATTGTTTTCTGGGCAAAGGTTTTGATAACTGCTCTTACTTAACTGGGATCTTTTAAATTCAATGGTGTCCTCCGTTTTTCCAGATTGCCTCTAGTTTTCGAGTTAACGGTGCTTGAAAATCTGCTTAAATTTTAGGTTTTTTGTTAATAATTACCTCAGTTTTAAAGTTATTTTACTAAACTTTTACACGTGACTGTATTTTGATATTACCTTAGCTATTTCTGGAAATCATGGAAATCGGTTCACTATAACATATAGCTCCCATACAACTGATTGTTCAGATATGTGGTTTCGCGTTACAACTCATATTTTATTTCGTAATATTTTTTATAATAGTAGTTTATACACTGCTTGGACCTGAATTTGGGTTCTTTTCAATCCCACTCTGGCATATTTTTGCAGTCTCTGTTGTACGAATGGCAGTCTATACCGCGTCTAATTCACATAAGTTAAGAACCAAAAAACACAAACTGAAAATCTACGCGCGCGATTACTGTCATATTAATTGATAAAAAACATCGAAAATTTTGCGAAAAACTTTTATTCATCATATCATTGTCTTCGGAAACTCCTAAAGATGAAAAAAATTAAAAAGCTTTGCAATAAATTAAACAAGTTTTGTTTCGTTTGTGGTAAATTCGTTTTGAAATCAGACCAGCGTAAATTAGTCTCAAATAAAAATGCACTAGCATGCTATAAATGGTACTTTTTGCAATCTGAACCTGCACAAAATAAATAAACTCCCGAATTCACATGTATTTCGTGCATTAGTGTGATGAATTTTTGATGGACAAAAAAAACGATTTTCGTTACGATTCGGTTTACCAATGATTTGGACAAATCCCGGAAAACACGAAGCTGAAAATTGTTATGCATGCACCAACAATACATTTGGTTTCAATCGAAAAAGTAAGTAAATTTAAATAAAACCATGAAATTATGTATAGTTTGCCCTCACCTTAATCGCTGAGTGTATGAAATAGGTAAAAGTTTCTGTATGTTTGGAAGGTACCACGCCTAAGTATAACCAACCGTGGAAAGTCTGCAGCAGATGTCCAAATTAAAAAAAAAAATGGTACAGCACAGTTTTTGTCCGCCGAACACACAAACTTAACATTTGTATATCGATGGCTGAGTGGAAGATCTACCTATCTCGGCAGCCAGTTCGAAAACGCCCTATCTCCGAAAACTTTTCAACAACGCCCTACTTCAGAATTTGATTGAAGAAAGCACTATTTCAGAATTTTATTGAAAACATCCTATCTCAGAATTTTGCTGAAGAACGCCCTATCTTAAAATACATTGAAAATGTGCTGAGATAGGGCGTTTTTAAATCGGCAGCTGAGATAGGTCGATCTTCCACTCAGCCATCGATATACGCATATATATGTACGTACATATACTTATAAATATTTAATTCAATATATCGGTTTTGTGTCGTCTACAAAGGTGTACCGAGCGCTCATTTACCTGTTGCACATAGTGATGCATTACAAGTTCCAAATCATCCATCCGAACTCGAAACTGTCTATTATTGCAAAGTCTATGGCAACGCCATTACCACTTGATGATGGATCTGATTACATTCCGATTGAACACAATTTACCGTCTTTCGTATCCCAAGAACACCTAAACAGCATGGTGCGTAAATTAAATCTCTCCTATAACAACGCAATGATTTTGGCATCAGAACTGAAAAGCGTGAATGTTTTAGCACCAGGAGTTATCGGAAGATGGCACTCAGGCTTATTGCATTGGTGTTGCAGGTTTGATGAATGGAATGGGAATTACTGACTATAAACCCGAACAATGGCGTCTCTTTATTGACGCATCAAAGCGAAGTTTCAAAGCAGTCTTTCTCTATCGCGATAGTAGCAAGAAACCCGTTCCCATCTTGTATGCGGTTGGAATAAAGGAATCATACGAAACAATGCAATTAATCTTAGATTGCATCAAGTACGAAGAGCACAGATGGCGCTTGCACTGTGATTTTAAAGTTCTCTCACTACTATCAGACATGCAAACGGGCTACACTAAATACTGTTGTTTGTTCTGTCATTGGGATAGTAGGGCCAAATGCAATCACTATACCAAATGTGATTGGCCAAAAAGAAAGGAACAATCGATTAGTCAATTCAATATAGTTCATGAGCCCTTAATAGCGCTAAATAAAATCATGCTTCCCGATTTACATATAAAACTTGGTGTTGTTAAGAATTACATCAAACAGTTGGTTAGAGTCAACGAAACTGCATTCCTATATTTGAAAAACAATGCCTTTCCAAAACTTTCCGGTGAAAAAAACCGCTAAGGTAGTTTATTGATTGTATATGAGTGAAAATCTCTCAAGTGGTTGTAAACCGAAAATATCTGGACCCTCCAAATTTGGGTGGCCCATTTGAGAGATTTTCGGTCATATATTTTATTATATCTCTCTCTTGCTTTAAAACCCCTATAATTTTTTATTTCAGGTGTGCTTAATGGGCCGAACATCAGAAGATTAATGAAGGATCAAGGCTTCTTGGAAACTCTTGATGGCACAGCAGCCGTTGCATGATATGCAGTTCCGGCTTTAATTAAACACGTTCTGTGTAAAAATCGTTCACCCGAATATACTATTTTTATTGCGAACTTGATGGAATCTTTTGACGCCTTTGATGTGCACATGTCGCTTAAAATCCACATGCTACACAGTCACTTTGACTTTTACGAGCAACAGCTTTTAACAGAAACCGACGAGGTAGGAGAGAGATTTCACCAATCCATTATGTGTTTTGAGGACCGTTCGCTGGAAAACGATTGAATTCAATGTTGGCGGACTTTTGCTGGTCGATCGCAGGAGGCAAAGGATATTAAAAAAATCATTCGAGCAATAGAAACTAGCAAAATATGCCAAAACGGGATTGAAGAGAACCCAAATTTAGGTCCAAATAGTATATAAACTAATATAAAAAAATATTACGAAGTAAAATATGAGTTGTAACGCAAAACCACATATCTGAACAATCAGTTGTATGGGAGCTATATGTTATAGTGAACCGATTTCCATGTTTTCAGAAATAGAAATATCAAAAAACCTAAAATTTAAGGAGATTTTCAAGCACCGCTATCTCGAAAACTAGAAGTAATCTGGAAAAACGGAGGACGCCATTGAATTTAAAAGATCCCAATTAAGTAAGATCAGTTATCAAAACCTTTGTCCAGAAAAAAATTAAAAACCTGACCACAGTGTTTTAAACGACGAAAAATTCACTTTCAGAACTCTAAAACCTCCCCCCTAAATATCTCAAAATTTTGACGTGATACGGATTTTCTGAAACCGCCATCGTAATCTAGAGGCCAAAATTAAGTTTACGTGTTTGGCCGTTTAGCTGTGATATTTCAAAACCTTAAAATTTACCTACAGTGTAATTGAGTGAAGTACATTAAAAATACTATTTATAAAAATACATATGTGGTTCTTAAAAAAGCTCAAAAGAAAGCAATTTCAATTTTGTGGCACTTTCATCTCCTTTTTGGCACTATTTTTGCAGACCATTAGGCGCATTTTTAAATTTGGAATTCCATCCCTGGTTTGAGTTTTGAACATGACACAATTAAAGGCGAGTTCCTATCAGATGGTAGCGGACACTTACAAAATATACCTTGAAATCAGCTGCCCCTTATTTGCAGCATAGCAAATCGTCTACTACCCTATTATGCAGTAGTCATACGAAACTCCGTATAAATTCCCAAATAATCCTAATTCAGGAACAATGGGTATGCCGCGGGCGTACCTGTGGACTTGGAGGGATTTCCTGGGGTAACATCCTTCAATTTAGAAGGACAGTAAGGCCAAATGCACGATGCTT